CTGACGTAATGCTCTTCTTTTCACTAATTTTACGCGAGGGACAGCCGAGCGCTGACGTACTGCTCGTCCCATCACTGATTGAACGCGAGTATCAGCAGAATGCTGAAGTAGCGCTCGTCCCATCACTGATTGAGCACGTGTGTCAGCAAGATGCTGACGTAGCGCTCGGCTCCTCTCTGACTGAACGCGAGTGACAGCCGAACACTGACGTAATGCTCTTCTTTTCACTAATTTTGCGCGAGGGACAGCCGAGCGCTGACGTACTGCTCGTCCCATCACTGATTGAACGCGAGTATCAGCAGAATGCGGAAGTAGCGCTCGTCCCATCACTGATTGAGCACGTGTCAGCAAATGCTGACATAGCGCTCGGCTCCTCTCTGATTGAACGCGAGTGACAGCCGAACACTGACGTAGTGCTCTTCTTTTAATTTAACGCAAGGGACAGCCGAGCGCTGACGTACTGCTCGTCCCATCACTGATTCAACGCGAGTATCAGCAGAATGCTGAAGTAGCGCTCGTCCCATCACTGATTGAGCACGTGTGTCAGCAAGACGCTGACGTAGCGCTCGGCTCCTCTCTGACTGAACGCGAGTGACAGCCGAACACTGACGTAATGCTCTTCTTTTCACTAATTTTACGCGAGGGACAGCCGAGCGCTGACGTACTGCTCGTCCCATCACTGATTGAACGCGAGTATCAGCAGAATGCGGAAGTAGCGCTCGTCCCATCACTGATTGAGCACGTGTCATCAAATGCTGACATAGCGCTCGGCTCCTCTCTGATTGAACGCGAGTGACAGCCGAAAACTGACGTAGTGCTCTTCTTTTCAATAATTTTGCGCGAGGGACAGCCGAGCGCTGACGTACTGCTCGTCCCATCACTGATTGAACGCGAGTATCAGCAGAATGCTGAAGTAGCGCTCGTCCCATCACTGATTGAGCACGTGTCAGCAAATGCTGACGTAGCGCTCGGCTCCTCTCTGATTGAACGCGAGTGACAGCCGAACACTGACGTAATGCTCTTCTTTTCACTAATTTTACGCGAGGGACAGCCGAGCGCTGACGTACTGCTCGTCCCATCACTGATTGAACGCGAGTATCAGCAGAATGCTGAAGTAGCGCTCGTCCCATCACTGATTGAGCACGTGTCAGCAAATGCTAACGTAGCGCTCGGCTCCTCTCTGACTGAACGCGAGTGACAGCCGAACACTGACGTAATGCTCTTCTTTTCACTAATTTTACGCGAGGGACAGCCGAGCGCTGACGTACTGCTCGTCCCATCACTGATTGAACGCGAGTATCAGCAGAATGCTGAAGTAGCGCTCGTCCCATCACTGATTGAGCACGTGTCAGCAAATGCTAACGTAGCGCTCGGCTCCTCTCTGACTGAACGCGAGTGACAGCCGAACACTGACGTAATGCTCTTCTTTTCACTAATTTTACGCGAGGGACACCCGAGCGCTGACGTACTGCTCGTCCCATCACTGATTGAACGCGAGTATCAGCAGAATGCTGAAGTAGCGCTCGTCCCATCACTGATTGAGCACGTGTGTCAGCAAGATGCTGACGTAGCGCTCGGCTCCTCTCTGACTGAACGCGAGTGACAGCCGAACACTGACGTAATGCTCTTCTTTTCACTAATTTTGCGCGAGGGACAGCCGAGCGCTGACGTACTGCTCGTCCCATCACTGATTGAACGCGAGTATCAGCAGAATGCGGAAGTAGCGCTCGTCCCATCACTGATTGAGCACGTGTCAGCAAATGCTGACATAGCGCTCGGCTCCTCTCTGATTGAACGCGAGTGACAGCCGAACACTGACGTAGTGCTCTTCTTTTAATTTAACGCAAGGGACAGCCGAGCGCTGACGTACTGCTCGTCCCATCACTGATTGAACGCGAGTATCAGCAGAATGCTGAAGTAGCGCTCGGCCCATCACTGATTGAGCACGTGTGTCAGCAAGATGCTGACGTAGCGCTCGGCTCCTCTCTGACTGAACGCGAGTGACAGCCGAACACTGACGTAATGCTCTTCTTTTCACTAATTTTACGCGAGGGACAGCCGAGCGCTGACGTACTGCTCGTCCCATCACTGATTGAACGCGAGTATCAGCAGAATGCGGAAGTAGCGCTCGTCCCATCACTGATTGAGCACGTGTCATCAAATGCTGACATAGCGCTCGGCTCCTCTCTGATTGAACGCGAGTGACAGCCGAAAACTGACGTAGTGCTCTTCTTTTAATTTAACGCAAGGGACAGCCGAGCGCTGACGTACTGCTCGTCCCATCACTGATTGAACGCGAGTATCAGCAGAATGCTGAAGTAGCGCTCGTCCCATCACTGATTGAGCACGTTTGTCAGCAAGATGCTGAGGTAGCGCTCGGCTCCTCTCTGATTGAACGCGAGTGACAGCCGAACACTGACGTAATGCTCTTCTTTTCACTAATTTTACGCGAGGGACAGCCGAGCGCTGACGTACTGCTCGTCCCATCACTGATTGAACGCGAGTATCAGCAGAATGCTGAAGTAGCGCTCGTCCCATCACTGATTGAGCACGTGTCAGCAAATGCTGACATAGCGCTCGGCTCCTCTCTGATTGAACGCGAGTGACAGCCGAACACTGACGTAATGCTCTTCTTTTCACTAATTTTACGCGAGGGACAGCCGAGCGCTGACGTACTGCTCGTCCCATCACTGATTGAACGCGAGTATCAGCAGAATGCTGAAGTAGCGCTCGTCCCATCACTGATTGAGCACGTGTCATCAAATGCTGACATAGCGCTCGGCTCCTCTCTGATTGAACGCGAGTGACAGCCGAACACTGACGTAATGCTCTTCTTTTCACTAATTTTACGCGAGGGACAGCCGAGCGCTGACGTACTGCTCGTCCCATCACTGATTGAACGCGAGTATCAGCAGAATGCTGAAGTAGCGCTCGTCCCATCACTGATTGAGCACGTGTCAGCAAATGCTGACGTAGCGCTCGGCTCCTCTCTGATTGAACGCGAGTGACAGCCGAACACTGACGTAATGCTCTTCTTTTCACTAATTTTACGCGAGGGACAGCCGAGCGCTGACGTACTGCTCGTCCCATCACTGATTGAACGCGAGTATCAGCAGAATGCTGAAGTAGCGCTCGTCCCATCACTGATTGAGCACGTGTCAGCAAATGCTAACGTAGCGCTCGGCTCCTCTCTGACTGAACGCGAGTGACAGCCGAACACTGACGTAATGCTCTTCCTTTCTCTAATTTTACGCGAGGGACAGCCGAGCGCTGACGTACTGTTCGTCCCATCACTGATTGAACGCGAGTATCAGCAGAATGCTGAAGTAGCGCTCTTCCCATCACTGATTGAGCACGTGTGTCAGCAAGATGCTGACGTAGCGCTCGGCTCCTCTCTGACTGAACGCGAGTGACAGCCGAACACTGACGTAATGCTCTTCTTTTCACTAATTTTACGCGAGGGACAGCCGAGCGCTGACGTACTGCTCGTCCCATCACTGATTGAACGCGAGTATCAGCAGAATGCTGAAGTAGCGCTCGTCCCATCACTGATTGAGCACGTGTCAGCAAATGCTGACATAGCGCTCGGCTCCTCTCTGATTGAACGTAAGTGGCAGCCGAACACTGACGTAGTGCTCTCCTTTTCACTAATTTAACGCGAGGGAGAGCCGAACGCTGACGTACTGCTCGTCCCATCACTGATTGAACGCGAGTATCAGCAGAATGCTGAACTAGAGCTCGTCTTATCACTGATTGAGCACGTGTGTCAGCAGGATGCTGAAGTAGCGCTCGGCTCCTCTCTGACTGAACGCGAGTGATAGCCGAACACTGACTTAGTGCTCTTCTTTTCAATAATTTAACGCGAGTGACAGCCGAACCGAAACAGGCCGTTTCCTGAGCCGACACCGAGAACCCGAGCTGCATGCGGAAGTGCAATCAACTAGTTTGTTCCGAAAAAAAAAATATGCTCCATCTATGAGGAAAACGCCCCGTGTATATCGCAGGTAGAAGAGCCCATGCATTTCCTATGGGAACGTTTTGGTCCTTACTCTCATCAATTACTGAACCTATAAGGAGCGCAAGTTCGTCTGCTCCTAGCACAGGGGTTGCGATGACGTGAGACCACCGAGCTCTTTTGGCTGATTGAAAAATGAATTGGCGCTAGACCTCAAGGTATCTAACATCGAGGTCTACCCACGATCCTTCGAACCAAAGCCAATCAGAACTCGGTGGTGTTCTGACGTCACTGAAATTGCAGCGCGAGAAGCAAGCGACTTGCTTTCCGCATTGGCGCTGGAGGAGTTGTAATCGAAAGATAATTAAAAAGAAAGAAAATAACAGGTTCAGAGAATTACATTTTTCGGTTTTCCGTTTATTATTGTTTTACAGTCCAAGTCTTAGAAAAAAAGGCAATTGTTTTAGCTTTTTTTTTCAAGCGTCCCATAAATTAATTTCATTGATAAATACGAAATCTACTACTGTGTTTGAGTGTAAACTCTCTTTGTGAATTTGTATTTTCTAACAGAATTACTCGATGCATTGTCGTTACGAAAGTAGTGGAGGAAGTCCCCCTTTTGCCATGCTAGGGTGGTAAAAGCAGAGGTAACACAAATCGTGATGTGTTTGTGTGGAGAAACTGTGCACACACGTGGAAACTGGATGGCGCCAATGGTAGCTGCGTGCAGTCTTCGCCGGAAGCAATGGAAATGCCACGTTCTCAGAGCCTGTCGGAGTGGGAGACGGAGCAAACGGAGGGAATCAGAACAATTAATACGCTGAAGTACCGAGCACGCTCTGGCGCCAGCTATCAGCAAAAGAGGACCAAACAGGCTAACATACCTCAACCCGTTGTTACTGTTGAGGCAGAGTGAGCACTGCTCTGCTTTTCTCTCGGTCTTTCTTGCGGTCTTTTTCTGTGGAAGGCCGGAGCGTGCTGATTTTACGGAGCTGAGCGCCGTTGTATGTCTCGCGTTGTATGCAGACCGTTGTATGCAGTCCGGCGGAGTGACCGAGCGGAACATAACATTCTCGTTCTGCTCCTCAGAAAAAACGAAGAAACCGGGCCAGACCATCGACACTACGGCTGCAACATCACCACAGCCGTACGACACACCGCACGACCGGGCGACAGGCGGCTGATAACCGGCAACGCCTACCAGACAGCGCGGGACATCGCCCATATAAGCAAAGAGCAGACTGGGAGCCAGCGCAGTCCGGCGGAGTGACCGAGCGGAACATAACATTCTCGTTCTGCTCCTCAGAAAAAACGAAGAAACCGGGCCAGACCATCGACACTACGGCTGCAACATCACCACAGCCGTACGACACACCGCACGACCGGGCGACAGGCGGCTGATAACCGGCAACGCCTACCAGACAGCGCGGGACATCGCCCATATAAGCAAAGAGCAGACTGGGAGCCAGCGCAGTCCGGCGGAGTGACCGAGCGGAACATAACATTCTCGTTCTGCTCCTCAGAAAAAAACGAAGAAACCGGGCCAGACCATCGGCACTACGGCTGCAACATCACCACAGCCGTACGACACACCGCACGACCGGGCGACAGGCGGCTGATAACGGGCAACGCCTACCAGACAGCGCGGGACATCGCCCATATAAGCAAACAGCAGACTGGGAACCAGCGCAGTCCGGCGGAGTGACCGAGCGGAACATAACATTCTTGTTCTGCTCCTCAGGTGCGTGCATTTCCTTTTTTTTTTTTTTCTTGCACTGTACACTCCGCTGGACTGCGCTCTCCCCTACTGAGTTATGTCTGACATCGAAGAGAATGTTTGCTTAGCATGTATGAAAGAAGTTGCGGGTGATAATCCAGTGTTAAAATGCACAAAGTGTAACAACGTGTACCATATTGGGAAGTGCTCGGTGTCACCAAAAAGGCCAAGAATGCAGTAAATTTGCTGACTTGGCTGTGTACAACTTGTAAGCTCAACACCCAACGTCAAAGACAGCAGGGGGATGACCAGATTGCACAGGTCACTGCGGAAGCTTCAGATCACGGGCAAGCGGCTATAATGGCACAAATAATGCAGACAAACAAAAAGATGACTGAGGTTTTAACTAGGATTGAAAACATCGAAAAAAAGCTGAATCTGCAGTCTGCGCAACACGACACTACGATCCAAAAACTAGATAATCAGGAGAAAACCATTGAATCTATAGAAACATTAGCGAACTTGCTATCTGAACAGTACGACGATTTGATAAAAAAGATGGACTCACTAACAACTGTCACGAACGACCTAAGGAAAAGAACAAAGGAGATTGAACAGCTTGCATTTAACAATGACGCGCGGATAAAAGACCTAGAGTGGGCAGTTGAAAATATGGAGCAATATTCACGAAGAAGAAACATTGAAATTCGTGGGATTTCCCCACACGTGCACGAAGACCTGCCAGAAATTCTGAAAAACCTAGCAGCGAGGCTCGACCTACCTTTTCCAGAGCCAGATAAGATCGAAGCCATGCACAGACTAAGAGCGAGAGATGATAAGATTGCCCCGATCATTGTCCGATTCAACGACCAATCGGAGAGAGACCGGTGGGTCAGCAAGCGTACCGCGCTAAAGGTTGATCATATCTTCATCAATGAGAACCTGACAAAGCTGCAGAAATGGCTGTTCTCGAACGCAAAGGAATGTGCAAGGGAAAAGGGATACAGCTTTGTTTGGATGAGAAATGGAAAAATACTGGTCAGACAAAGGGCAGGATCGGCAGTGATACGTATCGACAGGGAAGATGACTTGAACAAAATCCGATAAAATGGCCACATGTAGCACACTTAACGACTGGAATATATGTGTAAAAATATAGTAGCGAAAGAGGGAAAGGAGGAAGAACAGCTTCTACATGTCATTCAAATTAACATCAGAAGCATTAAAAAGCATTGGGATGAACTTAATGTATCCCTTGCTAGTTCGCTTCAAGATATCGATGTAATAATACTAACTGAAGTCAACATTGAGGCCAAAGCACCGTTACTGTTTCATATAGATGGATTTAATTCAATTTCAATACGTCGAGAGGGCAGAAAGGGGGGAGGAATATTAGCTTACATAAAAAATGATTGGTCTGCAGATCGTGCTGAGGTGTTTATGAATCATGCAGAAGTTCTTGTCTTTACTGTTCACAGGCCTGAAGTGTCATTTACGGTAGGTCCGTTCTACAGACCACCCAGTGGTAATCTAAACTTATTCTACGATGAGTTCGTAAAACTCTTGAACACCTTTAATAATAATGACCATGTCGTATTAGCTGGCGATTTCAATATCGATGTTATGTGCCGCAGCAAAACCGGAGTAGAAGAATATCTTGATATATTATCGAACTACGGGTTGGAAAATATGATTGACGGTTGCACACGGGAAGAATACTTAGGTGATAAAGTAACAAAAGCTTGTATTGACCATATAATAGTGCGTACTTGTACCATAAAGTTTGTAGCGGCAGTAATACAACAAAAAGTAGCCAATCACTACTTTGTCGCTCTAAAGGTTGTGCGTGAGGTCGAAACCAAAAGCCCGCCGGGAAAACAATACAAAGAAATTCTAGATAATAAAAAAATAGACAGCAAAATCAAAGGTTATAACTGGAACGCTTTACTGCACCTAGACCACCTAAACCTTTACAAAAGAGTGATAGAAATATTCAAAGGAATATATGACAGCTCTATTAAAAAAACAAGACTAGAAAAGCGGAAGCCGGGAGCTGTCTGGATTAACGACGAAATACTGGAACTAACTTATGAAAAAAGTAGACTTTGGAATAGATGTAAACAAAACCCCCAAGATGCAACACTAAAGGAAGAGTTCAGGCAGATACGTAATAGAGTGACTGCTAAGATTAGACTGGCAAAGAAGAAATTTCATGTGACACAACTCCGAAATTCTGGGAAAGACCTAAGGAAAACGTGGAATATTGTAAATCAAATAATGGGAAAACCACCTAAAGACAGCGTTGACGAATGTATAAAAAATGAAAGCCGTTTACAACTCCCTGTAACACCGAATTGGAGCGCAGCTCTTGAGGAGGAGGAGGGAAGGGTACTTAGGCCTCACCTGTTCTCGGGGCGGGGGGGGGGGGGGGGGGGTCATGTGACCTTGGGGGGTCACGTGACCCCCCAGAAAAATTTTTCCGCTAGATTTAGCCGGGATTTTTTTCCGCTAGATTTAGCGGGGAAATTTTTCCGCTAGATTTAGCGGGAACTTTTTCCGCTAGATTTAGCAGGAAATTTTTCCCGCTAGATTTAGCGGGGAAATTTTTCAGCTAGATTTAGCGGGGAATTTTTCCCGCTAGATTTAGCGGGGAAATTTTTCCGCCAGATTTAGCGGGGAATTTTTTTCCGCTAAATCTAGAGGGGAAATTTTTCCGCTAGATTTAGCGGGGAAATTTTTCCGCTAAATCTAGCGGGGAAATTTTTCCGCTAAATTTACCGGGGAACTTTTTCCGCTAGATTTAGCGGGGAATTTTTCCCGCTAGATTTAGCGGAGATTTTTTCCGCTAAATTTTTCCGCTAATTTAGCGGGAAAATTTTTCCGCTAGATTTAGCGGGGAATTTTCTCCGCTAAATCTAGCGGGGAAAATTTTCCGCTAAATTTAGCGGAGAAATTTTTCCGCTAGATTTGACGGGGAATTTTTCCGCAAGATTTAGCTTGAAATTTTTCCCGCTAGATTTAGCGGGGAAATTTTTCGGCTAGATCTAGCGGGGAAATTTACCCATAATGCACCACGCGGTTACGCCGACGCCGACGGCGACGCCGACGGCGACGCCAACGGCGACGCCGACGCCGCTCAAGCCGGAAACGGGCGCCTAAGAGCTGCGCTCTAAAAAAAACTTTGGGGTCACCGATTACTTTACCCTCAGTAACAATTTCAATAATTACTTCGCTAAAGTTGTACAAGACTTGCGTCGGCCAGTACACAATACCACAGAGACTGCAAAGCCTCTGTCGAATGTATCGAACTCGGCATACTTGCCACTAATAACAGATACAGACTTAGAAGATATAATTAACAGCATGTCAATCGTAAAGCCAGCGGGATATGACCAACTAAGACCACGAGATATAAAAGTAAACTATAACAACTTAAAACATGTCTTGCTGGCGGTAATAAATGGAATATTGGAGACAGGAATTATACCGGATAACCTTAAAGTTGCGATAGTTCGCCCTATTTATAAAAAAGGAGGGAAAAAGGAATTAGGCAACTACAGGCCAATCGCTCTCATGTCCGTTATCTCGCAGATAATGGAAAAACTTGTTTTAAAAATAATGACCTCCTTTTGTGACAAATATTCACTAATTAGTAGCACCCAGTATGGCTTTCGGAAACAATTAAGTACTACGCTTTTACTTGAAGACATGACAGATTACATGAATGAAAAAATAGATTCTAATAATGTAGTACTTGCAATATTTCTTGACCTGACAAAGTCATTTGACACAATTGACCATTCCATATTACTACATAAATTAGAAAACCTTGGCTTTCGAGGGCATTTCCTAGACTTATTTAAAAATTAAATTTCCAACCGGGCGCAACGAGTTAAGATAGGGAAATGCATCAGTGACGCTGTGCACACAACTTGCGGTGTGCCGCAGGAATCCGTTTTAGGCCCTATGCTTTTCAACATCTACATGAACGATCTAGCTTTATTACCTCTGAAATCTAACCTCTATCAATACGCTGGCGATACTGCATTAGTCCTGGCAAATGAAAATTATGATACGGCAGTCAAAATCATGCAGAGTGATATCAATAAAGTAATGAACTGGCTTTCTAAAAGCTCTATATTTGTTAACATTAAAAAAACACAACTAATGTGCTTTCGAACGCACCAAAGGCGTATTAACCTTACAAAACCCATCTTCTTGCATACAAGTCAATGCACCCAGTGCTGTTGTACGCCACTTTCATATACCGCTCACGCAAAATATCTAGGCATGTATTTTGACGAGCATCTGTCTTGGAATTCCCATGTACAGCATCTAATAAATCACTTGCAAACAATATCATCCTAATTATACAGATTACGGAACGCCGCGGATATTAGCCTAAGACGATTAATTTATCAAATGTTAGCAGAGTCAAAACTAAGATACGGGATTACTATCTATGCCATCCTGCTCCAACTTGAAAAAACAAAGAATAAATAAGTTATTGAAAAGGATGGTGCGGAACATCGCGTATGGAACCAAACTCGAAAATACTGTGTTTGAAAATCAGCTGTCAGAACTTGACCTATTGACAGTAAATAAACTGCGCACATTTGTCATTCTAACAAATCATTACTTCACATCCGAGTTCAAAATAAAAACCATCAAACAAAGGCAACTGAGAAAAACGGAAAAGTTTCAGATACCAAAAATATACACTAACTATGGAACTAGGTTCCGTAAATTTTATGTACCCCCATATTTCAACCAACTTCTTGAAAATTTACTCAATCTCCACTCTTTAAAATCTGTAAAAAAGGAAATGAGGAAATTTTGTATACAGGAAACTGAAGGCTAACTGGTCGTTCTCGTGAACTCACCTTTTTTTTTTTTTCTACTACGTATTTTTGTGCTCTTGAATTCCCTAAGTACGATACTGCACTTACTTGTAGATTACTACCTTGACCAAATGTGTTTTATTTTTTTTTATTGACATTGTGTATCTTTCCTTTGCGATACCTTATGCTTGCTTTCGTCGTTTCTGGGTGTCATGACTGCTCTTTTGTTGTTTGTGAGTATTTGGCACACGCTAGTTTCTTAGTACTGTAGACGTGATGTCTAAATTGTAACGAATATGTTTTGTCTTTACTTTGTTTCCTTAGGGCTTCAACATTGAATAGATGTTTGAAGAAAATGTTTGTAGGATTGTAAAAACCGAGTACCCCGTGTAAAACTACTTATTGTCTTAGTGGACTGCCCGTTCTCACGCACAAGCACGCAAGTGCTTTTGTGAGGCGGTTTTTTTGTACCTTGATGCGCATCTGTGAATAAACTATTAATATTATTATTATTAACAATGATATCCCCCCTTACCCTCTTTTGCGGGGAGCAACACTAAACCCCTCGAAGACGACGTTCGTGTGGCGCTGGTGTCCTATCAATGAGAAGGCGAGCACTGCGTCAGTGTTCGACTGGCAGTCGGCTTATCGACTTCCTTCCCTGGTTGGGTGACGGAAACGGTTACGTGCCAGTCATTTATAAGGAAGCTGACAGCGCGATGCGGAGCATCTTAATATCAGTACGAGTCCACGAGATTGCGATCGACAAGAACGCCGAAGAAGGAATCCCAAAGCAAGAAGCGAGACAGTCACAATAGCTTAAAGGGCCCCTGAAAAGAAAAAGAAAAAGTATTTTTTTTTTAAACCGTCTGGTAGGGACACGCGTGTCTAAAAATAAATTTTACGTGAAAAAAAAAAAAATAGAGCAGTACTGGTGGCGCGGGATGCGATTACACTCTAAAAAAAGCCCGTGAGTCTGCTTTCCCGCACAACACTCGGAGAGCCAATCGCCGCAACTTACGGAGGCAGCTCAGCGAATGACGATGTTGAAACATATGTTTAGACCAAAAAACGCAGTCTGAGTGGTGAAATTAAGCAATGCAAGCGTGACGTTTTGCATTGCTTAATGTCACAACTCAGACTGCATCTTTTGGTCTAAACAGATGTTTCGGCATCGTCATTGGCTGAGCTGCCTCCGTAGGTTGCGCTGATTGGCTCCCCGAGTGTTGTGCGTGAAAGTAGACACACAAACATTTTTTAGAGTGTAAGTCGGCAGTCAGCTCCTTTCCACTTTTTATCTCTCGAGGCATTTCGGGCGCGTGGACGAGAGGTGGATCGGCTTCGCCTTCGCGACCGAGATGGCCCTTGCGGAATGACCCGTGACGTCATGGACTTCGCGCGCAGAATTTCAAAAAATATCTCAGCGTCAATATTGCTCTAAAGATTTTTTTTTTTTTTACGTAAAATTAATTTTTATACACGCGTGTCCCAACCAGACTGTTAAAAAAATTTTTTTTTTCTTCTTTTTAGGGGCCCTTTAAGAAACGCTTTAGTTATCAGTGACTACGCGAAGTGTTTTCGTCGATTTATTGTTGTCGCGGTGCGTTGAAGGCTCCGCGCGCTCAAAACTTGTGCATCGCTTCTGTTTGCAGATGAATAACAAGAACATGATGACCTTTCATCGCGAATTTGTGTCTGTAGTCACGCAGCCAATTGACGACGACTTCCAGAAGCTCGTTGTTGGGTTTCCCGACGGCGCCAACGTCCTTGCAGCCTACCCAGAGATCGCCGACAACGACTGTCCTGTAAGCCAGCAGCCGCATTGCCTTACGGCGTTTCAGTGTCCTGTAAGCCGACAGCCGTTTGAGAGAGCGTGATCGTGCACCACCCACCACAAAACGTCAGCTCAATTTGCTCAATGTCAGGGCGCCGATTGAGTGCAACTTTGCGCCAGCCTTCGCGGTATGCCGTCTTCCAATGAATGCATCGCGTTGGCATAACGACAGGCGAAATGTAATGACGTTTTTTTTTTCTAACCACCGGTAGCGCGTTGACATTTTTTTTATTTTTTACGTCAGCAGAAGGATCGGTAGCGCCGCCTCTCTGCCGCCTGGCAGAGAGGCGGCGCTAGCGGTCCTTATGCGGCCGGCAACGCCTTATTTACAAGCACTAGCTATGCGTGGCGCAAGCTGCTACCCGAATTAAAGGGTTCAGCCGTATGCATCCATCAATCTATCCCACGTATCCATTCATCCGGCCAGGCGTGAGAAGTGCACTCCTTTTTCGGATCACCTCCCAGCCCACGTTTTGGCCATCTTATTCTGACACGCCATAACTCTATTACACAGGACGGCTCTCACCTTGATGCGCCGTCGAATCATGCTACAGAATGAAACAGCCTATTTTCTTTGTGACTTTTAAGCTTCCACAAACTCAAAAGCATGTTTCTCAAGTTTGTAATTACACTAGAAAAAATTAAACAAAACTATTTTGCTTATGACCACGCTCCCCGTGAAGCCTGTTTTTCGGAAAATCAAAAATAAGATGCGCCTGGGGCCTATTGCGGTCTTTATTTTTCCAAAAGCATCTGACAGTGGGAGCTCCATCTGCATTATAAAAATTGTTACTCTCCCCCCCCCCCCTCCCCCAAGCACCACGTAAAATTAATATGCCACATCAGTCGATAGTTTTGCTGTTTTTGGGCAAATTTAAGCTTCATAAAAAGATGACTGCTGCTCAGTTCCTTATCTACCTATTTACGCACGCAGATGTGAAAAGTACGTCCACCACATAGTTTTTACCTTTCCCTAAAATAAAAAATTACTCTTTGAAGTAGGTGATTTACGCAGTAAGTAAACTGAGGGCCCGATAAAACTAAACACACTGCACACCGCTAATATATAGGTTTTCAAGACTAAGATTATCCACGCCCGTTCGAGGGCTGCCGGCGATTTCAAACAACTAGAGCGAATTTAGTTTTTGGGGGGCTAGAGTTGGTGCGACACGATTTGCATTCGGCCCAAGTTGTAAGCTAACGGCCATCGCTTTATTCGCACCACACACCGAGTTCCAATGATCTGGCATTGATCCGTTTCATTGATTGCGACCGTCGACACTGCAGTCGGTGACAGGTTCAGAAGCCAGTCGGTGATCCAGCGCTAGCTTTCTGCCCTTGTTAGCACTGGGTCGTAGTCGCGGCAAAAGCCCTCCGAAAGGCAACGAGTACGTGACGGAGGCGGAGCATTGCTGGGTTCTTATTTCCTTGCCGACTACAGGCAAACTACAAACCAATATTGTTCATTGACAAAAAAAGAAAAAAATTTGTTACTTTCTTTGCAGTCTTTCGCAGCCTTCTATGTTCTTTGAAGACTCGTTGATGGCCATCAAATGTCAAAAAGGCGTCTGACAAGGTGGTTTTTGTCATGTTTACGAGCACTGTTGATGGTTTGTTTATTCAGTCGGGCAATCAAATTGTAATCGGCAGGGCTGCTTCGTCGGTTCGCTTCGAAACTAACTTGTTCTTTCTCCTTCAAGGTGGAGCCGGGATGCCAGCTCCCTTTGGCGATGGAAACTGTGGCGAAGACCATTGGGGACAAGCTCGAGAAAGGCACATACAGGACCACAGAATTCTTCACGACCAAATTTATTTTCTCCAACACGTCCAAGGTGAACTCGCGTTTTTTGCCTTAAGTTATATGAACAATATGGACTCGAAAAAATGTTAGGTAAAAGCTTCTAACGATGACGATAATAATCCCTGGAGTTATTCTTAGTTATCGTGCCCTGCTCGCTGCACCTTCGCATGAATTGGCATTAAAGCTTGTCGCGTACACCCTTGCTGAGCAGTTTCCATGGACCAAGTGAGCCCACCGAATGTCCTGACACACGCAACATTCCACCTGAAAGCGAAATATGGGACGGGAGACCGAAAAAGTGATACAGATTTATTCGCCGATCCCATTTAAAATATACTTCGTTTTACGATTGTTTACATGCATCCATTTTCAAGGTAAACAGCATCATACATTATGGCGCGGCTTCCGGTTCTTGGGTGGTGTCTCTGTTTTTCTTATGGGGCGCGATTACGAGCGCGTATTATCGGAGTTTGCCTCTGAATGATCGAGCTTGCAACAGGGAAGAAAAATGAACGAGTTGAAGCGATCCTACATTCATTGACCCGCGTTCGATCCAACAAAGGCATTTTTGGCAAACCTTTACCGTGTTCCACGTACCGCACTACCGGAGCCTTTGAAGCTTTTAAGCGCGCGCCCCGCGGCCACGGTATCACTCTGGCGCGAAAAGCATGCTTTGAAGGCTCCGGTAGTGCGGTACACGGTAACAGTTTGCTAAAAGTCAGTATTACTGCAGAGGCTGCGTGGGTACCCTTAAGTATCCTGGCCCGAAAAGCCGTATCGTGAGACTACTTTAGGCGGAGCTATGTTGAGGTACGGCCAAGAGTTATGACCGATTCACGCAGCTGCCCTTGACCACGTTCTGACGGGTTGGGACCGTGAGTTGCCGGGATATCCGTGGTTCGTATGCCGCATGCAAGGTGACACCCGGTGACTCGCGGTTGTAACTCAGCGTAAGGTCTTATAACGTCTAGTGAAATGCACCTAACATATGTGAATGGGCCTTTATCCATGCTTCGTACGAAGCACGGCATCATGGCAGTCAATTAAATAATTAGCTTGACAGGCACCATACGAAGTACGAATACTGTAACTTGAGTAGTGTATCGGCGTAATGTAATCAAGCGCTCTCGAACGCTGCTGCGTCAATTCAGGCTTGCCAGTCGAGAAACGCGCAGAGCGTGCGAAGGCTCGTAAAGACGCCTGCCGGAAACAAGTATAGCGAGGAGTACGATGGATGAATTCTTGCGGAACAGTCTGGACCTGTCTTTTCCGGCACTTTGCGCTACAGGCTAAGTCACTTTTAAAGTTTTGTTTTCTCCACAATTTAGAGCGGCCTATCAGAATAAACCGGACATATTGAACCAGAATAAACCGGACATAATGAACCCAAGTAAAATTGAAGAGACATCATATTTTTTTCTTAGAAACTCCACGTTAATTAAGTAATTTAATATGCTAATAAAAACCTCTTGGCCTGGCGGACTCGGCGTCCTATTTCGTCGATAAATAGCTCATCGACACACGTTTTAAACTCGATGGTTAGCCACGGTTCATCGACGCGGCTGCGTACGGCGACAAGAGCGATATTTATCACGCGGAAAAGAAAAATTGCTCGTGAGTGTTGGTTCACGGCTTCTCGCATTCGAGTAAAGCATCGGTATAGGCACAATGCCGGGCATTTCGGTGGAATTTAACTTTGCGCAGCAACACCCAGAACAATCTGACACAGCGTAAAATCCTATAAATAACAGCACGTTCACTCCGAAACCGGAAAGCGTTTTGGCAGCGAGGTGCCCAGATGAGGTGAAAGCCTGAAATAGCCAAAAAGGGGTCTAAAACAAAGAGGGAGTCTTCCGCAAAATATAGTAACACGTGCTCCCGCTGTATTGAGTCAACTTAGCCAGAGCTGTATAAGTGTTAACATTTGCTCTTTACCGTACATCAGGCAAAAGTAACTACGCAACTGCAAACCCCCACAAGGCATATCCCTATCAAAACCGAGAAGAGCGAGCTTCCGGCGCTCATATCCGGTGTCCCAGCTCCGATATTATTCTTAGGATACGTAACATCCGTCTCGTCATTCGCTCTGCTCCTTCCGTAAATTGCTGATTGGGTTTCCAGTTTCTCAGTGAGAAAGGAGACATGCAGGGACCCCTTTCCATCGTGTATTTTGTATCTTTTGGCAGAGTCTGTTGCTGGCCAGCGGGAAGTGCGGCCAGTGCGCCCGGTTTATCATTCGATCCGTCGCCAAAGTGCAAGGGATACAAGAGTTCCTCAAAATTGGCGAGTGGACCCCCGCCGTTGGGCTAAAGATGACCCACAAGCAATTTTTTCCCGGAATCATGGGCAACCTCGGGGGAATCAGGCTGACTATCGGCGTCATCAACGTAAGCATGGAGTCAATATTACCCCAGTGGAAATGGAGCGTGCTGGAAAAGTTACGGTGTAAGAGGAAAAGTACAAGAATGATAATGGTGTCGTCCTGTCCTCGTCATTTATGTAACTCTCCTCTAACACCGTAATATTACCCTATTTACTCGATATACAGCGTCTACACCAAAAGCGCGTTGAAGGGCAACTCTAATACATTTGGGCTCGATTTTAGGGTTGCGACGGTTGTTAGCGAAAAGAATGTCCTTCAATTGCGAGATTTTTTTTTTTTTTCAGCTTTTGTGTAGTTTTGTGGATATTCTACCTCAAAGTTTTGTTTCGAAGGTCGACGGCGAAGCCGAAACTTGCGGCTCGAACAGGATGGCAACGAGCAGAACGTAAGGGCGCAAGTGAGCTGGTGTACGATGGCATCCTTTGAGATCAGCTTCATGGTCATAGTGTGAAGCAAAGTTCGTATTGCGGTACCGCAAAACGAACGACTGGCCTAGTCGTAGGAGCAGTTCTGATGAGTCAAGTACGATGCTACGGCTGTTTTACCACGTTCCTTTTCTGATATAAAACATCATCTGTAGCAAATATTAATACACATTCATAAAGTTCCCTGTTAAAGAGCGAGTTTGCCACGATGAACTCATGTTCAGAACGAGCCCCACTAATCTTCAGAGAACAAGAATCTTGGTGGTGCGCAATGCATGCTTTCAGAACCGCTGTGAAAGCTAATCGTAAGCTCGCGCCGGACAGGAACGGATTAAACTATAGACCTCCTGCGTTCCCCAGGGGGTGCTGCGAAAAGGGACTTGTTAGTCCTTGTTTTGGGTAGTACAAACTTTAGCATCTCAAACTGTCACGCATGCAGAAGCGTGCCTGCTTTGGTCCCAAGCGCGAGATCACGATGAATATACAAATAAACAACAAAAAATCGAACGCCGTCAAAGCTAAGACGCTAAGAGCGTGAGCCAAGAACTGGTGTTTCACGCGTTCCAAAGTAGACATGACAAAGAAAAAGAAGAATTAAAGCGTCGTGTCACAGGTGTTTTGACGTCACCACCCAGAGATAAGAGACGCGAACCCTAGCGGTGGTGTCCTGAATTTGGCGCTTTTGATTGTCTTGCGGCGTTGAGTCTGGCCGATTTCTGGCGTCCAAAGGTGTTTTTTCGTTCTTCAGCACCAGACAGAATTAAAAAAAGCTCAACCAACGTGCCATAAGTAGTGCGAGGCTCAATCAGGTCAGCTTGTACTAGCCAAAATGAGGGCGCTACAGTTTGTTCCAAGCTTCAGCGCAGGAGGCCTATGGGCGCCAGCGAATGCCATCTTCTGCACCACGACGCGCTTGATCGAGCAGGGAGTCGATAATCTTCGTGCATGCGCGATCGCCTAAGAACACTTACAAACTACGACAGTTGAAACATAACATACCAAGCAGAAATTGTCCTCTGGGGCGGCTGAAAATGCAGCAGAAAAACATGGCGAAAGAAGTGGCAGTACGAACAAGAAACGTCCTTGAAAACAAAGTTGACACAGGGCACAAGGCTGCTTAACAAACAGCCAACCCGCTGAATGCCCGCTGAGAAGCTGGTGGTTGCAGTTGTGGATTTTCGGTAGTTCTGGGATTGCAACGCGTGTCGCGAGAAGAAGAAAGAAGATGTTGGTCGGAGAAAGCACGATTGCGAGGACGATACCATCGAACAGACCTTCCCTGCATATCCTGTAAATATCCCGCAGTTTATTAAATATAAGTTGTTTTGTTTAGAGAACGATTCCAGGATTAATCCCCAAATGGTGCCGAAACCCGGGACAGAAGACCGAGAACGTACAGGGTAAGCGGAATTCTAAACGTTGCCGATCAGAATAACACTACAGTGAGACATGGATCGACTAGAGGGGAAGTGTGCCGTCCGACGAGTGTAAAATACTTGAGTGATCAACGAGGCCACTGCCGTTCTGGAAACTGCAAACGTGGCCGCACTTACATCACTCTTCGAACGGTTAACTACAAGCACCAACGAGCCTCGACAAACCAACATCGAGATCGAAGAGCATGTCGGTGATGGAGACCTTGTTACCGAATACACCACAATAGTCGAGTACGATGACGAAATTACCCGTATGATCGCTGTGTTCTGCAGCGCGAGCTTTCGCTCCACGTGCTCCGAGCTGGTGTGCGCTAGACCACTCGGCCTCCGATGCCCAAATGCATCGGTGCGCAAATTAAGATGCGCAAATGTACGAAATCCGCAGCTCGCGAACTTCACGCGCCCAGTGCTTGAAACCCACATTAAAGGGTGTGTAAAAATTGGTTACCCAACGAATCGCTCTGTGGTTTACAACGGAGGTGCAGCTAGGTGGTTTAAGTCTGGAGTGAAAATATTAGCGAATAAACTTACCTCGTTAAACAAAAACAAATATTAACCTGTTTCTGGCAATCTACGGCAGCATTTCGCAGACCGTGCCATAACGCGGTGCTCGCCGTCTTGTAAGACACGAGAGGATGCTGTGCCTCGACCGATCATCACCGTACAAAAATAGGGAACCTAAATGCCGGTTTTTGTATTTAATTTATCGTTCAAAATATCGCACATTAAAAATTGAGCTATCATCAACAATATAAAAGGGAGCAGTTCATGTTTCTTCTTTCCGATTTCACGACTCCCGCAACCTTCATTAAACCTTAAACTGTCAAACAGTACGCACTTGGCTTTCCAAACTTTCCGTTCTAGCTCTCGTCGGGGCCATAATATGTTCCGAAATTCGAAGGGACGTCAAAAATCGAGCAAGTATTTTTCCTTTCATATTGATGCCTATAGTACATTAGAAGAACGCGCGCCGGGCTGAATGAAGCGTAGTCAGAACTTTCGGAAGATCGCCTGTTAGCCGGCGCGTCCTCGAAGCTTCCGAGATCTTTCGGCAGCATTCCGCAGTCGGCACGCACCGTCTGCGAAATTCCGCCGTAGATTGCCCAAAACGTGATTTTTTTTTTTTTTTCGAACAAGATAGGTTTTTGATTTTTTGTTGTAAGCTTCCACCTGCTGTAGCCTATCTCTGTAGTAACTTGAAGCACGATGCGTTGAGAAAATGATTTTTGCGGACCGTCTAAATTGGGTTCCAAGTATTGGTGTACACGCTGTATATTAGGTACGTTAAAAAAGTGGTAGGCATTTAGTAGGCACGGTGTGACTTATTCGATCCCGAGATAATTTTAAGTTGTGCACTCTCAGTTACAATCGGACACGACTGCTACGTCGTCCTTCGGCTTGAATTTTGTTGCCATCATTGCGTCGGTTCGCGCTTGCCTTCGGGCTCGTGTTCAATCACACGTGCATGAAGCAACGGCTAAAATACGTAAACTGTCAATGTTGCTTAGGGTGGCCTTGGAAGGGGTCTATAGTGAGATACTGACGCAGTTCTTTGTTTCCACAGGATCCGCCGATGTCGGTTGTCGAAATGTCGCCGGACCGCAAGACCGTCAAGAACGTTACCGGCACAATGGCTGACATGGTTGAGGCGTTGGCAAAAGGACTTAACTTCACGTAACCGAATACTCTTTATAATCACACACAATATCGTACATTTCACGAGTCGAAGTTGAGACAATCGCACACCCTTATCGGCAGATAGGTGAGCTTCTGGTTTAGTCACCGCTTTATTCAGCTAATATGGTCACTTCCCAGGGTGGAAATTTGGCCATTTCACAGGGTGGAAATTTTGTCGAGACACCGCGTGTATGGCGCCGTTCAGGTACCGCCACCTCAAATGATTCCGCGGCACTACAGTCACTGACCGCTGAAAACACGAAGGGCATGGTTTATTAGATTCGCGCTCTCATTAATCGGTCTTCGACCTTATTATCGGCTGATGCAACTATCTCGTTGGCTGCAGAGTGGCACTCGGAGTGTCCTGCGCTTCTAAAGTTGTCGCTGACAATACAAATAAGCAAGGGCCACACATCTCCTCTTTCACGAAACACGTTCATGGTCAATCATTGAGATATTATTGTTTCCGCAATCAAAATGAAAAAAGAAAATATGCCTGCTAGTTTCTTTTCCCAAGAGCATTCAGAGACCCAATATACTTGTACAGTACGTGTCTGCCGCTCGGCGAAGGCAGAAAGACAAAACAAAATGAGCAGTCCTGCGTGAATCCACACTGCAGCCACAGCGATGGCTGGCACAACTTATCCGAGTCTAATATAGGATTTTAGTCAAGGAGGTTAGAATGGGCAGGATGTGGCGTCCGTAGTCTTCATATATGGAGCCAAGTGTAACGAAAGTAGGCTTGGCCACAAAATGTCCCCGCCGTCACTCGGTCAGTGAGACGATCCTTTTCCTGTGTGTTTTTTCTTCGACTAATTTCCCCATCTTTTACCACAGTCTTGGGTAATTTGTATCATGATCAGGAAACTCCGTTACTGGCGTCGCCATGTAAATATGGGGCAAACAATCGCGTTGCCATGACATTGCAGTGGCAACGCGGTTGTTTGCCCCATGTTTACATGCCGGCGTCCACTGAATCTGTGCCGAACAGGTGGTATTTGGAGCCCAACACTTGTCCCACTTGCCCGACTAGTAGGAAGTCGGCTGGTGGCGGATGCTGTCGACACCGCGCCGGAAGCACCGTCTAGAGCGAGTCGTCATAGCGCGGCTTTGGAAACCGAGCGTATCAGGCGTTGTAACCTGAAAATGGCACCGGGTTGAAAAAGCCGCACAAGCCCTGCTTCCACCTAATGCCCCTGAATAACAAAGGTAGCGACATCTTCTCCCTCCTCCCCTAACGCGGACACCTTTTATCTTTATGCTTTGCTTCTTTACAGCCGCGCGTCGACTGTAGCGCCGCCTGGAATGACCCGAGATAGCAGACGGCCTGCCTATACACCAACTCATGTTTACAAACAAACCGGAGCGCCCGGAGCGCCCCTAGCGGACGCCACCGGCGCCGCGCATGCGCGATGGGGGTGTGGGCAAGGAGCTCGCCGTCGCCCATAAACAAACCATTGAAATGCGATGTTGCGGGCGTCGGTGTGAGTCCTCCTGCCCTTTTTCGCGTTCGAATTGTTGGTTCTACGTCTTCCTGGCGATGTCCGACTATCTTGAGCGGCGTCAGCAAAATTACCGAGGCTCGTTCCACCGCAAAACTTCGCGTGAATAATGTGACATGTAGCGATTCATTCCGCGTGGACGCCGCAGATTGTACTCATTCGCATGATGAGATTTCGCTCGGAATTTTCAGTCGCGACGCCGCTCGGGCTGCAAAAGCGTGAACCGTAGCTGAGATGGTGACGACGATACTGAAAATCGCAAGCAGAATCCGACCAACTGAGTTAGGCATAACAAGTCGGTGTTGGTCACTGGTAACAATGACCAACATCTCCTTGTATCTACTGTTTACATCGAGCCTGCTTACCAACCTTCAAATTTAAGTCTTTTGAGGCCTGCACTCACTTCTTATCGCAAGTACCGGGCCAACATTTGGTCTACGGACCGGCGTCGTCTAAGAGAGTAGACGACAAGCATAAACGTTTGTAAGAGCAGACGACAATTCGAACAATCAGGAGGCCGTTTTAACTTGAAGACGCACCGAACGTAGTCCACAGGTGGTCCGCACAACTTGACAGTTTTCTGGCGTTCATGTTGGAACAAAACAAATAAATATGATGACCACAAGTATCCCTGAATTCAACCCAAAATGCTTCCCGCCCAAGCAATTGTTGTCCGACGGCGTCTGCTTTTCCCTTTTCACGGCACATATCCAGATTCTCGGACGAACTGAGCACGTGAAAACTGACCTTCAAACCTTTCTCGACACTTTTGGTACGGCCCCAGTCGCGGCGTTTTGACGAGAAGGCAGGTCTTTGTCTGGTTCCTTTCAAAACAACGCAGGAATACACGTCTGGCATGGGGACTTCTGCCCACAGCCTCAGACCGGAAGTGCGACCGACGCGCCAGCACCGCGCCGTGACGTCACAGAGATGAGTTCGTGTATACTTGAGTCAGAGCGCAGTCAAAGGCTGAAAGACACTCAAATACATACTCACAGGCTAAAAGCGCACTGTCACGGTCTCCCAGCCTCGAAGGATGCGCTCAAAGAAGGACGATGAAAGCCGTGACGTTGCACAGTCGGCGTCATTTGATCGGCGACATGAGCTCATAGCATGCACTGCACTCCGACAGCATAAGCATTCCTTCTCCCTCCCTCATGCACACTCTTATTGTTATCTTTTGCCCTTTCGCGCTCGCGCGTGGACAGTAGCGCCGCCTGGATCTGCCTAAGATAGCAGGCTGCATTCTTCAAAGGATGTCTCTACTTTTTCGTATAAAAGGGCTCTGCTTCCAGCAGGTCTTCGTTTCCCTCCTCCGTGATGAGAATGCGCATTCGCATCGAAATTTTTTTGGTGCATCCATCATATCGAATGCCTGCCGCGATAGCAGGTAGACGTAGCAGACCACAGTCCCGGAGCAGACGTAACATAAGACTCACGTAGCCGACCGCGCGGCGAGCAGACGATGGGAGCTTGGATGAGACAACACCTCCTGGAGAGCTTTCAAGCCTGCGCGTCACCTGACATGACGTCACATCCGGGAAGCCTGCACGGGCGCTGATTGGATGCGAGTGCCACGTCAGCGTTCGCCGTGGGACTCGTTTCCTATCATAGTCCCACGCGAACGCTGACGTGGCACTCGCACCCAATTAGTGCCCGTGCAGGCCTCCGGGACGTGACGTCCTGTCACGTGACGCGCAGGCTTGAAAGCTGCCTAAGTGGTGTTGGATGAGAGCGCGTCGGTGCGCAAGAGTGTCTGGGTAGAGTGTACTAGAAGGAACGAGTGGGGCCACCGGAGTGCTATTTTGGTACCTTCGGATGTGGAAAAAAATGGCTAATCCAAGCCACTTCGCTCGTAGCGCCCTCTAGGGCGCTACGAGCGAAGAGGTTTCGTTTAGCCGCTTTTTATGAAAAATGCTTTTCGTTCCAACGCCAAGCTTCACCGGCACACTGGATAGAAACGATAGAACGCCGGACTATATTTTTTTATACAACCTAGACGCCAGGCGTCACGTACTTAAAGGCACCGGGACCTGACTTGTCGTCACAACGCCATGCGACATCAGGACGACGTCTTGACGTCAACGTCGTCATCGACGTTGACAATGTGCGTTACACGACATAAAAGCTGCGTTCTGACGTCATATTGCGTTGACAACGACGACAATGTCAACTTTGACGTTGATGACGACGACGACACCGACGGGACGTCAAGATGATGGCGTCCTTGTCAATGCAATGTCATAAGGACGCTTGGTGTCAGTTTGTTGACGTCGTTGTCGACATGACGCAACTCGACGTCACGAAGATGTCCCGACAGCTTCATGACGTCGACGTCATCGTTGACGACGTTACACGACGTCATGACTTGGTCGTGACTGCGCGTCGACGTTGATGCTGGCGAAGGTGACGACGTTACACGCCGTCAAGGCTTCGTCGTGACGTTGACGTTCACGATGACGTCAGGACGACGTTAACGTGACGTCATAGGGATGTTTGACGTTGCGTGGGGCGTCGACGTCAACATCGGCATCGACGACCACGTCCACGTCGTCCTCGATGTGGCGCCCGACGTCATGACCGCGTTGCAACGGAGACTTGAACCGGCTTGCTAGAACCGCGTCTCAGCTGAGACTGGGTGAAAGAAAGCACTGTAAAGGCTGGGGCGCGCGAGCGTTTTGAGACGCGGCTTGAGTCCCGCTCAACTTGCGCGTTGGCTTTGACAGTGCTTTCTTTCCCATAGTCCCAGTTCAGACGCTGCTTCTAGCAAGTCGGCCTTGATGTCGCGTAACGGCGTCGTCCTCAACGCCACGTCACGACCGCGTCACAACGGCGACTTGACGTCGCGTAACGGCGTCGTCCACAACGCGACGTCACGACCGCGTTACAACGGGTACTTCAGGTCGCCAAGTGGCGTCGTCCTAGACGCGACGCGATGTCACGACGGCCTTACGACATCATCTTGGCGTGCGTAACGGCGTTGCGAATGACATCGTGGCGTCGTCGTGTCGGGGTGCTTTGGCGTTCCCTCTGACGTCAAAATCATTAAAAAAAAAATACAGTATAGCCCCTAAGGGGCTATATTGCCCATATGACCTTCACGTGTGTCGTTGCTTGATCGCAGCGAAGGTGGCGCTGCGATCAAAGTGGCTTGGTTCTACCTGATCGCTTCCCACATTTTAAGGTACAACTCAAAGCATCAGCGGCGCCTATAGCTCGTCCCACTCGTACCGTCTAGTACACTCTAGTCTGGGATTGAGTTTGTCCGGCGTCGCTGAGTATGACGTCACGTCGGGTCCTGGACAGCTTTATTAGATTAGCTCAGTTACGGCTCATAGAAGATGCTTTCACGAGCAGTACTCTGGCTACACTGCTCGCCTCCCGTCGTTTGACGTGCCGGACAACTGCTATGGTAACTACAGTGCATACTGTGGAATTCGTGTTTCGAAGCAATGCATCTAGATGGCGTGTCAGCGTACTCCATGGAACACGCAG